TGTTCTATTCTACAGTTTACTTGTCCGTTATCACCCGAGTCCAGATCTTTTACATTTATGATGCCAATAGTGGTACCAGGAGGAGAGTCCTCGGAGACGGGACTAGTGAATGACATAACGTTTATGATAGGCACGTTATCATTAACATCAGTTACTTCAATTATCACTTTGCTTGAGTCTGTTAGTCCGCCCTGATCTTTTGCATCTATCCTGAGTTCATATTTTTTATCCTTTTCGAAATCTATGAGGCCTGAGACAAACAGCGAACCAGAGAACTGATCTATGGACAATAAATCAGCTATATTGCTCTTCACGTTTGAAACTGAATATGTGACGTAACCATTTGATCCACTATCTGCGTCACTAGCATTCACCGTGACAATATTAGTACCTTTTGCTGCATTTTCTATCACCGTCGCCTTATAAACAGACTGTTTGAAAACGGGAGCGTTGTCATTTACATCTAAAACATTAATGTCTATATTTACGGTGCCAGATCTCTGAGGATTTCCACCATCGATTGCTATAAGCTCCAAAGATAGATGTGGTACCTTTTCTCGGTCCAACTGCCGCTGAAGCACCATCTCTGCATATTTACTCCCGTCTGGATTTACATGCTGTTTTAAAACAAAGTTGTCGTTCGAGGTTAAAACATAATTGTGAAGTCCATTTACTCCAACATCAGGATCCTCTGCACTATCTAACACAAATCGGGCACCGAGATTTGCGGACTCGCTAATGTCTAGCATAATATTTGCTTTCTTGAATATCGGAGAATGATCATTAACATCTAAGACTTCTATTGTTATGGGGTGTAGTTCCATCGGATTTTCTAATATCAGTTCAAAGCTGAAACTACACGGCGTTACGTCCCCACAAAGCTGCTCTCGGTCTATTCTCTCATTCACAACCAGAATCCCTTTGTCTGTCTGCAGCTCGGTGTAGTGAACGTTTTCTCCGGTCACGATACGGGCCCGCCCTGAGCGGAGCCTTTTCAGATCCAAGCCAAGATCCTGCGCCACATTACCGATAACAGAGCCTTTCTTCATCTCCTCGGGTATAGAATACCGAATTTGACCACCAACCATGTTAACTGCAAGAAGCAGCAACAGAAGGAGTTCCATATGACGTCGCAGTTCATAAAATGATCGGCATTCTGAAGAAATGCAGGTCAGAGATCTTAATGTCACCATCACTCCGATGGAAATAATCAAAGGATGGAAGCTTTTTTCTTTGTATGTAGTAGAAAACGTCCCAGTATATAAGCGCCGGCGTTACATTTACAACTGTCCTCAAGCTTTAAATGCTTCAAATGAAAGTCTGTGAATCCGCACTGGACAACACACGGAGAGCCTTCCTCACGTCATGATCACCGAGGGGATGGACTGAATGAGAACGTAACACAAAATAATAATCTTACTGGCCAACAGCGTCGCTTAGAGTCGAAAATGTGAAACATCACATGAGGCTTGAATAAAACTAAAAATAACAATTGTTAAACCGGAAATGAATGCATTTTATCTAGCATGGAGATTAATATGAAACGAGTTGAAAAAGACAATACTATAGACTGACTGAAATACTTTAACTTCAGCATCAATGTTCTAACACATTTCACAGAAAGGGAATTAAAATCTATCCAGATTCAATTGAAAATATTTTTTTAAACAAACATCTGCTCAAAAAACTGTGCCGCTCATTATTAAAATAAAATAAAAATATTACCTGACTCATAAGAAAATGCTACTTTTAAGGGAAATATACAATTATGTACAATGAAATCACATACATAAGATGATTGACTAATTCGGTTGTTGTAAGGTCTGATGAGAACTTTCGTATGCAATGAGATGAA